CTTATAAGTGGCAACAACAACAACAACAAAAGCTGAGTTCAAGGCTACCTACCAATTTTCTTCTATCATCTTACCCCAAAGTTCATTGTCTTTCAAGGCAATAGAGGTGTATTTACGCAACTATGATGCAACAGTCAATTTTGAACAATATTGTTGTTAATTAGATCCTCTTCAGGTTTTACTTTAATACTCTATTAGCTTTGAATCCGGTCGCGGTCCAAATTTTCATTTCACCTCCAATCATCCATCATCCAGTATAACTACTAGTCTGCCAAACTAAAGCTATATCAGATAGTCGAATCATAATCATTATGATGCTCCCTCTCACTAATTCAGTTAGAGTTGGATTGGATGAGAAGTCCTGACTAGGCTACCAGCGTGAATACGATCAAGTGGTAGTAACGCATAACGAATTCACATGGTAGTCAGGCGAAACTCCGCCTTGTGATAGAAGTAAAATAAAAATCTAACCAGCAGTTGAACGTAGTAGCTCAGTTGGTAGAGGATCGGGCAGGAAACCCTATAGTGGCGGGTTCTAGTCCGGTCGAGATCCAAATATTAATTACACATATTCATAATGATAATAGTGATAACGTTGACTAAAGCACTTGCAATATAGATGATAATGATAATAAGAACCAGGAAAGCAGCATAAATGATGATCGAAGTGGGTCAAAAGCTTGTGAAAATATAACTTACGTGTAATATTGAAGTAGATAAACAAAGCCTAAACAAATACAGTAAGCATATGAAAGGGGTGAAGAATAAGAAAAGCTGTAGGAAAAAAAACTGAATGATAAAGTTATTAACTAAATATTCCCTGGCCAAGGGATGTACAAGTTTCTTCTGGATACAAAGACAAAGATTATTAGCTCGAATTCCTACAGCGTTTTCTATGTATAAAAGACAAGTTTGAATACCTTTCGAAAGATGAGATGGTATGTGGTGAATAATCTTGAAAGTATTGTTCTTATCTACCAAGTGGCCTCTATCAACGAGGTGAGATAAAACTGAACTTCTTATGGATTTTTTCTATCCCTTTCTCAACCATGAAAGGTAGATGCTCAGCAATACGTCTGTAAAGTTGTCTAGTAGTACCCCCCATAGAGCTTACTCCTCAGGAGCAGCTAAATTTGTAAATACACATAGAAATGGCAAAAGTAGATACCTTATCTTTTGTTTGAGCAACAATAGTTGGTCGGTTGAAAAACAACAGTTTCTTTTGTACGTCAATAATTCCAAGATTATTTCCCCTCGTTTTGTCCATGTGTGTTCTTATGAAACTGTTAGTGCTTCAGTCAACGTTATCAGTTTTATCATTATTATTATTTGTATTATTATGACCATCCTTATTCTTAAAACATTTATCACATCAACCGACAAATCTACTTGATTGGTTTAACTTTATATATATATATATATATATATATATATATATATAGCTATTTGTATTAGAGTAAAGCATGTAGAGGATCTGATTGAAACGATATTGTTCGCTTATATGTCTTGTTCTAATTTAGATGATGGGAATTTTAAAAACAATCCATTTTATCTGAAGTTTTATCTCTTGTCTTCGCTTTTCTTGGGAAGTTGATAACATGGGATGATATCGATTAATTATATGTTCATAAAAATTGAAGTTAAGCATAGAATATCATCAGAATACTATTCAAAACTTTAAAAATCAATCAAAAAGGGAGTTAAGTGAAACGGTTTATGCAACAGAAAATTCTATTGTTTAGTTGTAAAACTATAGTTGAGATAAGAAGACACTTTTTGAAGGTGTCTACACCTGAAAATAAGTGCTTTGAATTATCATGATGTATATTGTGTTTTTGGCTAATTGTACAGAACAGCAGTTAGTGTTGTTCTGCAATAGAGATCGGTCTACCGGAAGTGAACAACATACACAACATGTAGACATTAATTTGTCTGTACACCTGCAGCATACTACTTGGTTGTATTGTGTTTTCCGAGCTAGGCTGTTTAGTAGTAGAGCTTTCATCGTCTTTCTAGACGACATCATTAGGACTAACTTCAGTATAAAGTGATCTTTTAATATTTCCCCGTGAGCGATTTAGTAGCTTGCCCTGACAAAGTGGTTTGCGAGTGGTTGTTTCCTTTGATTGTTGTGTCATTGACTGTATAGATTTTCTTGTTGGCTGTTCCTCTGCTTGATCCCTGACCTTTCTGACCTTTTTCTGATTGGTTAATAGATTGGGTCTGTGTCTATACATCTATTGATTGCTGACTGACTAACCTGAATGCCAAGCTTCTAGGAATTCTCTGATATTCTTTGTATTTCCTCTGTTCAAGATTTCTGCATTGTCAAAATTGAATTCATGTCCATAACTATCCACGTAAATTGAAATGTTGTTTAATAGGCAATCGATGTTCATCTAAGCAAAGGAGAAGAGGGCGACCACTTTGTCCAATGTATTGTTGACTACAGTCATTGCAGGGGATTTTGTAAATGATATTCTATTTGTCTTCTTTGGTTGTTGCATCCTTTGGTCTGCATAATGGTGTTTGTAGCAAATTTGTTGGTTTATGAGCCACACCAATTCCACCAAGTGGCCTCAGTAATCTTGTCGTGATTTCTGATATCTTCTTTATATATGGTAAGGTGATGTGTTTGCTAATTTCTGTTGATGACTTTGTAGTCGATGATATACGGGATAGGCATCTTCTGGTAAAGTTTCGTGGGTAGCCGTTCTTCACTAGGGTGGACATCAAGTAGTTTTCTTTGTTTCTCCGTGAAGTTGTTGTACTACAGTATGGTTTCTCTCTTTTGAATAGAGTCTGCACTCAACTAATTTTGTGTGTTGTTGGGTTGTTGCTACTGTAGTTCAGTGTTTGACCAGGATGTTAGCTCCCTGTACATTTGGGTTTCCAGCTTTCCGGCATTTGTATTACTGACCAGAACATTCAGGAATGGTAATCGGTTGTTTGACTCCTTTATTGTGAATATGATGCCATTGAAAAAGTTGTTGTTCAAACTGTGATTGTTTTCTATATCATCTTTTTTAATGATGACAGAAGTGTCGTCCACATAGCAAGTCCAAATTTTTGGTTGGACCACAGGTAGAATAATGGCTTCCAGTCTCTGCATCACTGTTTCTGGAACTAGTTCAGATATCAGTGATCCCATTGGAGTTCTTTTCATCTGTCTGTATATCCGAGAAGACATCATTTCTACTGTTGGAAGGGTCGCCTTTAAAATTACTGTTAGCTTAATAACCCCTGAATAAGTGGCTTTGAGGTAAACAGGACCATCTTAAATAAAAACCGCAAAATATTCCATGAGTCTGTGCACCAGTGTCAGTTAGTAAGATTAAGACACGTTTTAATCTTGTCTAGTCGTTGCCTTTCTTGATGGAGTTTTCACTTTGTGCAGAAATAAGATCACAACCTGCGTATAATACCCAAATCAAGGCAGTACCAGTTACCAAGACTAGGAACTATTAAGCTAAGCTGCTTATGCAAATGGCAAGTTTATTGACAAGAATAAAGATTCTTCAAGACCGTGGATAGCTTGGCTTTACGCTAGCTCCGCTGACCTATGTTGATCTTCAAGATCCTAATGACTATACACTTTGTCTTTTGCTTACTTTGCTAACACGTCATTTTATTTTCTCACCACTTCTGCCGATTCCTTCTCTGAGCTTCTTAAGCTTTGAACATTGTGAACTGACAGCATTTCATGACAGGTCCTATGCTGAACCAGTTAACTTGCCATTCAGTCAGTTGGCTTTCTGATGAACGGGTTGACAAGAAGTAGACCTAAAGATATTCAAGAGACTGAAAGAAGATTTCATATATGTTATACTTTAAAATCAAGGAGTTTAGGAAGAAACAAAAATCTGCATTAAGAATAATAAAGAAAACAAATGAGAAAGTTAAAGGTGGTTGAAGATAAGCGCAAGGAAGCCTTGCATATTGTGTTGCCAGAAAGTTGTATCGGCAATCTCTTGGGAATTGCCTTCAACACACTCCTGTCAGTTGTCTCTAACTACCTAATGTGCACCACAGTGGCGTATCACCTAGCTTGCTGACCACATACCGAAATAATTGATAGAATTCCGTCAGCCTGACTGTGAGCACATTGTATTTAGGACTTCAGCATAATTGGAGTTATTGTGGGTACCTGACAGCCTACTGACTGTCAGAAATTCAGATTTACTCATACCTAATAGTGATTTAACCGGAGTAGTGATCATGTAATCCGAAAGCCATGCAGAGTTTCGTGAAATGGGCAATGAGTAACAATTACTGTGTGATGGTGGGCTCAGAACCAGTTGCCCACCAGCTGAATGCCAACTACGCTAGACCAATGAGCCGGAAGCTTCAATAACAACGATGGTTCACAAAATAAAATATATAATGATTAGGTAACTTTACAGTTGTTGCTGGCTGTGAAAAATAGCTCTGGTATAATATACTTGTCTAACTGAAGATAATAATGTCTGATTATGGAAGAAGTCAACAGTCGCGGTAGGACTGGAGCCAGTTGGCAGTGTACAATTTCACTTACGTCAGCAGTAGTCTGTCGGACTGCTTCAACCGTTCACCACTCCGAGCTGAACACCATCAAGTTCAGCGTTTATGAACTTTCCACAAATGGTTGTGAACAACTGTAAAGATTTTTTGAAATATTTTGGTGTGACTAGGCAAACGTTTCAGATGAATGAAGGTGACTTCAAACTGTCAGTAGTATTTCTCGTCAGTTAATAAATGACAACAATCAGCAAAAATAATAAACTAGTTAACAGATTGTCTATATATCAACACTGAATGGAAATAAGAAACATCTGAGTTCAATTTATGCAGATCCATCTCTGATTTGACAACTTTTTGGTATGTAAAATAACATCAATCTGTAGTACATCCTGTCTGTATAGTACATAATACTTTCCTGAAAAATTTATCTACTTTTACAAGTGGAAACATTTTAAACATTACAAATCTAACTTATAGGTATGTTGTTCACTCTTTTTCAGATATATCAACAGTCACTTGAGCGCGAAAATATTTTCCATCATAAACAATGGCATCTTCTGCCAATGTTCAAGAACTCGTTGTACAAATGCAGAGTCTTCTACAGGATTTGAAGTCAACTCCTGAAATAGAGAAAATGATTAACAATGAAGAAAAGTAAGTCTTCTAAAAATTTCCAGCCTGCACAGCAATTTTCTTGTAACTCTGTGTGAATATTATTACCTGTTGTCCTTCGGGTTCTTAGTGGAACATACAATATTCTGCCACATCGCCATTTCACTCTCATCTCTGCAGCCTTTTCAAACTAGCTCATTGACTACCCATCATCTATCATTTCTTCCCAACAACATCTCCTCCAGCTTACCCATGCCTCCGACGCCCAACTCGCCACTTTCTATACCGGTTCAGCCACATCGTCTGGCCTTGCACATGTTCTCACCTGTTAGGTGATGAGTACTTGATTGGTTATTTGGTTGGTTGGTTGCCAGCCAGCCAGCCAGTCAGCCAGCCAGAGTTCCTTGCTGCTTATTATTATTATCCGTGTTATCGTGTTGTCCCCAAATAGTCTTCTCAGAGTATGCCCAGTCCATACCAATACATCTCCAATTCCTTCCTCCGCATATCTGTTAGGTGATAAGTTCTTGATTGGTTGGTTGGTTGCCAGCCAGACAGCCAGCCAGACTTCCTTGTTGCTTATTCTTATTATCCTGGTCATCTGATCTTCAGTATCAGTATCGAGTGAGCCGAGGCGGCAACTGTCCACGTATGAGTTCTGCAGTTTGTTGGAAATGATTTACCTAACGCTAAAAGTCTCTCAACCATCACACACAAGCACTGACTTACTTGACTGACATTAGTGTTGAAAATCCGGATCTCATTCACACTTTATGCTGAGTGCAGCACAGTGGATCTCCACACTCACTCAACAATGATAAACGCCTGTCTTACTATCTTTCCAATCCTGGCTCACTTGACGTCCTCAGCTGTGCCACCGCCACCACCACCGCCACCACCTGTAGTTGAAACGATCCTACCCAGGCTAGTAAGTGAGACAGACAACTTCATTTAGATTTCTCCCGTCGACGGTGATTGTTGCTTCTTGTTGTCGGTGTTGTTGTTGGTTGGGTATCTTCATCACCTTCGTCTTCTCCACATTCACCTACACGATTTCCCTTCTTCGCTGCACTTCCTCTTCGGCCAACTTGTTGCTTCTCATCTGCAGATCTTCGAGTTTGTGCAACAAGATATTAGACAGAAATCATCATCAGCGAAATCCAAATCTTCTGCGATCTTCTCATCCATCGGTCGAACAGCCTATGTCCATCTTCTCACAACTACTCACTTTCTTGCATGATCCAGTCCAGTCAAGTCCAGTCAAGTCATGTTGACCACAATCAGCAAGATCGTCTGTGATAGTGGGCGACAACTTTGTCTCACTCCTGTCCCCTGTCTTCACTTCAAATGCATCACAGTGCTGAGCTTTCCACTGTGAATCACTTCGCATGTAGCATCATATTGCATATGGCATATAGGTGTTGAATGAAGTTGACAAGGATTTGTGGCACTGAAACCGTAGTGTTGAAGCAGCTGCCTGACAAATTACTCCTCACTCGACAATATCGAAGGCCTTTCCAAATTCGATGAAGTTGAGGTCGAGGTTGAGGTTGATTTGAGTTGACTTGACTGGTATTCTATGCTCTATTCTATGATGGTGAGTAGCTTAGTGTTGTGATTCGATCCACACATCACTTATTCTTCCTGTAACCAACCAACCTGACTGCAGAGAATCTTTTAGTCTCTCCAGGATGATGCGGCATAATATATTGCTTGAGGTAGACTGGAGCATGATGCCTCGTCAATTGTTGCAGAGAGTTAGGTCACCCTTCTTTGGGTGTTTGACAAGGTAGCGCATCTTCCGATCGTCAGGTTCCTTTGCTTTCTTCCTTCCCCCCTTTCAAACCGTATGTAATAGTGGTGTGCGTCTGTTTTCAGTGCTCCTAGAGGAATTGCATCTGCTTCTGCTTTGCCGTATTTCAGTAAACTGCTTTTGTCGGATAACTTGTGTTCCCTGATAGTTCTGTGGTTTGGCTGCTGTTGGTATTTATGGACGAGCTGCAGTTGGTGGTGTTGGTTGATTCGAGAGTTTTTTGAAGTTATCAGCTTATTGTTACTTGTTTTTCTCCTGTTTAGTAACTAAGTTTCCTTCACATACACAATTTTAATTTTTCAACCTACCTATATGATCACAAAATGGCTCCCATAAAATTTGCATTACTTGAAATTCTCATTTGTCTGTAAAACATACTGAATCATACAGCAAACCTAGGATTTGTAGATGAAGATCCATAAAATATGAATAACCTCAGTTTAGATGAACTGACCTTGAAGTGATAATTATAGCTCATTAGTAAAACAAACAGAGCAATAACAAACCAGATTTATTTGAAACTAGTTATTGACCGGATGTTGATGACACTTACATGACATTGGTTCTACCGTTTTCTTTCTCAAAAATGGCTGCATTCTCCATCACCTCTTTTGGTGGACAAGAAACAGAAAAGTAGGAAATGCGGAGGCATAAGTGGATTGCGTTATTCCATATTATTTAAAAATATGAATGTATAATATGCTTCACTGTATTTTTTAAAATGATCTGAATCACTGAATAAAGTGTTTACCATTTCAATAACATCTTGACTGAAGAGACATGAAACTTGACTAACATCTGCTAGATTGCGATTTCTACATCCTTAGTAAGACATCTAAGTAACTTTTAAAAGGTAAACTTCTGTTTTATAACGAAGACGTCTATGGCAAAAAATTTATAATCTCTTCATATTTTCTGCTTGCTATGACCATGTTTCATGATCTCATAATAAAACACGGAGAACCGTTTTATGACATACTCTCCTTCTGGTAGGCACCGGATATCTGATGTAAGCTGGAAAGTACAAATAGGCCTTTTGTATCCAGACTGAGACTTTTCCAACAACAGATGCATTCAGGCTGATGAAAATCTTGAAGTAAGTGAAGTTGTCAGTGTATTCCAGCACTTGAATCTCTATCCTTAAAATTAAGAGTTGGCACAGACCAGTTCTGAGACATTATCTTACATAAGAAATGTGCAAAACGCATGTTAAACTTCCTCCGGCTTTTTCTAAAGACATTCAGAAGACTACTTTTGTTATTGCTTTCACATAACAGAAGTACGCTGTCTGTATCAAGTGGATGCCATTCAATGGGCAAGTCAGTCTCTACGAAGCTGGACTGATTGTAGATCATGTCTGTCAGACTATCTATAAGAAAGGTAAATAAGAGGTCTGAGAGTGAACACTCTTGATAGACAAGTCTGATTATCATTACTTCAGACTGCAGCCCCACATACCACTATATATAGCTGTGTAAGTTACAGGAAACTTGATTGGCGTGATATATTTCCTCAGTAGTCCCTTCATGGTCTAATCTTGCTACGGTGCATCTTGTCCGACCATAAATATGTTTGAACACTATCAAACGAGCAATGTCCAAATGTGGAAGGTTGTTTAAAGAAAGAGAGTTGGCTAGTGCTATTTCAAACATGTTATACATATACAACCAGCTATACCTCTTGTGTGCAATATTTTTTGGTATCGGAATAAACTGTCATAAACTTCAAATGATCAAACCAATATGGAATGGCTGTGCAACGGTTTCATCACCTTTCAGGCTTTGAGCACTAGTCAAAAGTTCTCAGTTTCTACATCGACATTCCCCAGTTGAAGTACACAATGTAATGGAAAATTCTACTAGCCATTGTAACGCTTAGATCAGTGAATCCAATGGGTAAAGACATGGAATTTGTGTAGACGTTCAAGAGAAGGATAATAAGCCATTGGATAGTGGTCTAAATAGTACTTATTATGTATTTATGTTGGTTGAATTGTTTTAGAGACATTTGACAAGGGACTGGATATCATGCTGTACCCTTTTTTTATCTTTCAATGACTAATAGTTTTGGTTAAATTAAGTTTTGTGATTGTTGATTGACAGTTTCTGATGCATTGCATTTAAAACCTCTAGAAAAACGCAAACTACACATTTTAACCACCATCTCTAAATACATTACCTAGAAGCATTAACACTAACCTGCTTATTGTAATCTCTATCTTACTCAAAGGGGGTTGCTAGGTTTGTTCCGTCAGGAAAAAGCAATCTCTATTGAAATGTACCAATTTAACACGGTAGAGATTTATAACAACCAAGAAACGTAATAAATTAAGTATTATTGCTTGTATTATACCGTCGTTGATTGGATTGAAATGATAGGTCTCTATTGGTATATGGGCTCCTGAGCAGTTGCCTCGATATCGCCTGTGTTTTAATTATATATAGTAGTGATCAGCAATGGGATCCAGTATAGTAATCCCGTCCTATTTGGGACTCAACAGCGGCATATACCTGCCTCCTAGTGAGTGTTGTTCCCACCGGGATTCGAAATCAGGACCGACCTCTCCAAAACGCCACAGCTTTATCCGCTAGACAACCCAGCCACCATAGCCACTTCTTATGTGACAGGTATCATTGCTTGCGTCATACCGTCGCTGACTGGACTGAACTAATTGGTCTCTGTTAGCATATGGGCTCCATCATTACCATATGTAATCAATTAAGGTCTCGTCTGAATTGTATTCAACTACGCAGAAATGAAATTCAGTGTATTTATCTTTTCCAGTTATTTAACCCAGTGGTCAATTTAGTTCAACATTAATAACTATACAGTATGGTATATAATCCTTCTATTATCAAGGGTAACTAACTAGCTCACTGATGTCGTTGAACTCATTTGATGGATAAATTGGAATCTATTCAGATTATTGATTAATGAACTAATTAAGTATAATTTGTACACTTATTTCATAATAAACATCAATAAAATTATGATTAAATAAGAACACAGTAAGACTTCTAAGAATCGATAGGTTATTGAAATTTATAATAATTGATTTTTTGTATTGTTTAACCATTAATAACTAAGTTGATTCAATTGTAATGATAAATCAATGGTAACGTGCTGGCCACAGAACCCGAAGGTCCTGGGTTCGACCCCTGGCGAAGCGGGGTCTTAGTGCGCACTGCTGGGGAGTCCCAAAAAAGGACGGAACAGCTGTCCAGTACTC